ATGTCTTTCTTTTTAACACTCAAGTATCTAAAACATTACAAAGGCTAATTTTGCAATCCAGCTTTATTTGGTATGCGATTTTGAATCTTTTAACTACAATAAGTAAACCTAATATTCTTTGTCATTAAAAAGCTAATTTCATTAAATATCCACGGTATTTTTAGAATATTACGTAAAATAATTGTTTCGTTTCGACATTTTATCGTTTATTCAAAACAACTCAATCGTAATAAAATTAAATTCACAAAATTCCAAAAGTGTTATGAAAAATAGTTCCAGATTATTCAATAACACTATGACCTAGTGGTGTTATTATTGGTCCAAAACTATCCTATTTTTGTAATTCTCTCAACATCCTTGGCATTTAAAATATTGTTAGCAAACGGTCAAAACTCACCCTTAATCACCATCAAACTTCGTGATTTTGCTCAATCAATTAGCATTGTAAACGTACAAAACACTTTTTCCCTCTTTCAGAATTCGTGCCAAAACCTTTCATAACTATACTCACTCAACGCCCGGACTACTACGCAGAGGTACTACAGATGTCGCCATCAATAGTCCGTTCACAAAATTTAGGCAGTTTAAGTGGAAGGTTTCCTGGGTTCCCCCACAAGTTTTTATATCAGCTGATCAATTGTTGGCTGTTGTTTCAAATATATTGAGGTGAAGGAAATGGATCCGCTTCACCTCATATCAGCTAATCAGCTGTCAGATGTTTTTTTAAAGTTAGAATGAGGTGGAGGGGGTGGAATCGATTCCAAACTGCCTAAATTTTGTGAACAGAGTATGGCTACGCCTCACTGCTTGGTTAGGACCACACACTGACCGGAACATTTGATCCCTTGCTGGGAGATTCCGTGCAACATGGAGCCACAATGGTCGCAGAAGGTGGGGGTGATGTAAGTATGCACCTCCCATTTGTGTTTCTGTTCCATCTGTACCAACAATAGCATCAGAAAAGGTGTACGGCGCTGGCTATATGAGTCCGACAATTTCCGCTGCTAGCTCCAGAGATTCTGAAATTATTTAGTAGGGACGAGGGTGGAGATTTTGTCGTGAACAATAAACGGGTAGCCTCAGTTTTTCGTAATACCACAGGTTTGGCTATTTTAACCAGCAATGGCATCAGTAAATATGTATGGTGCTAGAAATAGTCCAAAAAGATCCGCTGCTAGCTCCATTGCTTCTGAAATGATTAAGTTGGGACGAGGGTGAAGATTTTGTGGTGAACACTAAGCGAAATTAAACAAACACCGTAAAACACCACAGCTTTGACAAATATGAGATAAAAACCATTTTATTGAAAATGCCACAGGAAATGGGTAGCCTTTAAGAATATATGCGTATGTCCGACCGTCCGACGCATTCTGCTCCTAGCCTCAATACATTTCTGAAATGTTTCAGTTGGGAGTATTTGATTCGGGCAAAAGTTTGTGGCGAATACTAAATGTCTTTAAATTCAAGTAGAAAACAAAGTACCACCGTGTTGACAATGTTTAGCAACAATAGGTATATGATGCTTATTACTTACTTATTCAAAGGTATATGATCCTAGGCATACTATCCTATACACGATATTAGTAGGTCCGACCAGTTCTGCTGCTACACCTAAAATAACCTAAAATATAGGAAGGAGGAAAGAGCGATATGCCTATAACCTCGGCTAACTTTTATTTAATAGATAGTGTTGGTTAAATTTTGTGTAGAAATTTCATACTAAATATTTTACTATCTTGTAGCTTCCAGCCACAGCGAGACAGTACATTATTTAAAGAATCCAACTCCCCACCCCCCACCCCTATAACAATGACTATTGTTTCATTCCCTTTTGTCTGCCTTCCAGACAAAACTAAGAAAGGAAGGTAATGTTCTCCTATGGGAGTTTTTGAATACCTAATTTAAAATTTACTACAAAGTCGGAAATGAGCTTAGTTAAATATGTGTTTGAGTCAATTTAGCTTTTTGTTGAGTCATACTTAATGGAAAAAAATTGACTTTAAAGTAAGATTCATTTAGAAGACCCATCTTAACTTCTTGCATTTTATAGAGTGAAAACTAATTTTGGACAAGTAATTATTGGCTGTTATAAGGGAGTATAAATATGTTAATTGAAACATGAAAACTTTGAAAATTTAACTTTGAGCTGAAATACTGAAGGACTGAAGTACTAGAAAATATATTTGGGTGTTTAAACCTTATTAATAAGCTTTGTAAGAAAAATCAATTATTTTTATCAGTGAACAAAATGTTGCATAATAGCATTGACAGATACAAAATATAGTATGTCAAAATACCGAACGAATCCAATGAATTTAAAATAAAATGTTTTGTGCTTCTTGGATTACAGAATGTAGATGTACTAAAGAGTGGTGAAACATTTAAAAAAGGGGACCAAGTTTTAGAGGTAATGTATCCTAATTTTTTCATAATTTACAATTTGTTTAGTTGTGTTTTTGTTGCATATCTTCTAAGTTAACATAAAACGACCTTTTTAAAACAGGGGAGACTAAACATCGGTCAATAGATAATAATAATCATGTTACAAAACAAAAGCCGACTATTAACCTATGCATTGTGAGCAGTTTCACCCCATAAGGACGGCCCAAGGAGAACGGTACAAAATAATTCAATGGTATTACACTCTTGTGATACTTTTCTAAGCCAATTCTTTTAACTATTTTGCTGTGTCCTACTTTGCGATCCTATCTCACGTATAATGTTTCCACAATCTTTCCGACCGACATGACATTTAGAAAACGATTGCCTATCCCTAAAACATGAAAATTCAAGAGCGTTCACAATTCAACAATTACAAATACATAGAAATAAACACGCAACAACTCATTCGAAGAGAAGAAACATCGAACAGTAAAAGCCAAATTCCACAGAGACTCACCTTTTAAAATGTACACAAATTAGCAACATCGCTCCAAACCCTATGGCAGAATTAGTAACTATAACCACCACCGCAGGCATCTGCCAATCTGCAGATCATGCTGCCAAGTCCGTGTGCCGGAAAGCGTTTGTTGTAAGAAATCATGCTCCGAAAGAAGAAAGCTGAAAGCATCTGACAGGCGCTAGACTATCATTAGCACAAAGATAGGGACAGAGAGAGAAGAAAACAGGCTCTAAACAGAGACAAACATTCGTCAGTCAAGATACACTACGTGCAACAGCGCTTCTTCCTGACAAAACACATAAGTAGTGGTAAAATGGGACTTCTGGGACAAAACTGCCACTTTGGTAGCAATGTATAAAAATGTCTTACTTTTAGTTATTACTGGATGACAATGGTATAAAACGTTTTGGAAAGTTTAATTGTTTTTTGTGGGTAGTGTAATGTTAATGTGATGACGGCATAGTGATAGTTGGTGTAATATAAATCATGAGTACAGAGATAGAGTGCAAACGTAAAGAATCATTGTGTTGTTCAGGTGTTAGCAAGAGGTGTTTGTGTAACATTTTATTTTCCTGCGCAATAAACATAATCTTTTAGATGGATTTCTTATGATGTAATTACTGCTTAAAGTAACAACAGATAGGTTCTTTAAGTACTCGAGTTTCTCGAACGGAAAAAAATTGGACATTCAAATTAGTGCCAGCTATTATGATAACAAAATTTAAATAAAAAAAACTGTAACTTATTTAACCCAATAGCTTTTGGTTTCATATGAGGGTGTATAAAATACAATACCTATTTTAAAATTTAAATCGTTAAACATTGTAGTTAAATGAGTTACTGTACAATATTTTGGATCTATAAACCTAGCAAAGATATTTGTTTGTAATCATTTTTAGCCGCAACAGATGCCTATGTGACCATTGTTGTAGCAGTGCTGAGAAATATTCATGTTTTTGTTTAATAAAGGAGATTTATTTCATTTCATTTTCATTTAATCGTTTTTTAATATTCATTCATAATTCATTAATAACTAATTAAATAAATATTTAAAATTTGTTGCCAGTTCTAGATTTCTAAAACATTGTTTGCCAATTAATTTGTCTATTTTTTTAATCTGCCAGTATATAATCGTATGTTTTTACCCTCTAATGACACTCAAGTGTAATTTAATAATGTTAGGTTATAAAATTGGTCAGAAATTTCATAATAGTTTTTGGTGGTATGCGAGTGTAAATAAGTTCGATAAAAATTATGTGTTTATATCAAATGTATTCTGAAGTTAAATAGTATATTGTGTGTGGTATAAATGTCCAAATACTAATACTACACAAACACTGATCGTAAATATTAACCCTGTAGTAGGAACAGGAGTTCTCATAAGCTCACAGAAAACGTTTTTGATGGTATTTCTTGTAAATATGATTTAATTATTTCCTTAATTTAATTGCTTGGTTTGAATAATTTTCCATTTAATAAATATCTTACTTCAATATAAATCAATTAAGTAGCTACTAATATAATCCACATCATACAAGTACAGGCATTCTATGCTTACATTTATTTAGCAAATATCTTAACAATATTTATTATACATTATTAAAATTTTTTTTAACTCGTAAGAAATTAAGACTATTTACTTTTTTGAACTATTACTCCATCTACAGCCGTTTAATTTTGAACTTAGAATTATCATAGTACGTTTGTGCACATTAAATAATTTTTCTTTGTAAAACAACTTAATCTTTCCAGATATGTAAACAGCGAAGTGTAGATTGGACAGTGAGTATTTCTAAGTAAAAACCTAAATAAATATAGCGCATGAAAGCAGATTACAAAAAGATCCAATATTTTAGCTCACCAGGGCTGACCGAAATAATTACAGGTTAACAGCGTTATTAAAATAAGGTAATAAATAACCATAGCGTGTAAAGGTTACACGCCAACCCTATGAATTATAAAGTGCTGATAGTGAAAGTCTTGAACATAGGCGTGTAATACCTAAATGCTCATGTGGTTCCAATGTCAAACGATTTGTATTTTTTATGTGAGGTGTTTGGTGGGGTAGAAGCGCTGCATGCATGGTTGCATAGACTACCTTCACATTTCATCCCTTGATGTAACACCCCGTACAAGAGGGAGCCGCAGTGATCGCAGAACGCCGGACTGGCGTACGTGTGGACCTTGAACTTGTGTTTGGTCCTGGTGCTCTGTCGGACAACAATAATAGTCAGTAAGGTAAAAGAAATGCTTGATGGCCAGCTTGTATTTAGAAGGATTTAATTTCGGGATCGTTGGTACCTGAAAATCAGCACATTTGATAATTTGTCTCTCGGACGATCAGCTGCTAGAAAAGTTTGGGTAACTAAAGTGGTTGATGATTTTTAATAACATTATAATGTTTCTTTCCTTTGAAAATATTACTCACAAAATAAACCACACGACTGCTGACAGGCTTAAAAGGGTTCACCGAAAAAATATTTTGAGCTGAGTTGAGAAATATTGTACGTAGGGTGATTTCTAATAACACGTAGCTTTTATAATTGCATGTGAATTGGCAGAATACATTTATTGGAATAACGAATTGATATGGCAGACGGAAAATGAAAAAAATCCATTTAAGAAGCTAACGATCATATCAGTAATTTGGTGATAATTTGGCCTCGAATGAAGAGTGTTGAATACAGTAAATAAAGTTCTTTAAGGAGAACATAATTCAAACAACCTTCAGTTTAACCATAGACAAAAAGAATTAAATATAGACTATCAGCCATGCTGCAGTTACCATGGTTACCATAGGTTCTGGAGCACACCGCTGGGAGCACCGTGTAATTACGTAGTGCGGTTTTTCTAGTATTCGTGGTAGCGCGTATGCCGTAACTACATGGCGCTCCCAACGGGGTGCAACAGAACCTATGGTAACAGCAGCACAGCTAACGTTCTACATTTAATTCTTTAAAGTTCTTAAAAGGCGGGTCTTTAAGGAGAACATAATTCATACAACCTTCAGTTTAACCATAGACAAAAATAATTAAATATAGACTGTCAGCCGTGCTGTAGTTACCATGGTTACCATAGGTTCTGGAGCACACCACTGGGAGCGCCGTGTAATTACGCAGGGCGTATGCTGTAACCTACATGGTGCTCCCAACGGTGTGCAACAGAACCTATGGTAACCGCAGCACAGCTGACGTTCCATATTAAATTATTTTTGTCTATGGTTTAACGGGTTTCATATCATCAGATTGGATGATAAAAATACAAAATGCAAACTTCGAATCAGCAGACATCAATTTGGATATTACTTGTACATTCGTGAACCTCATACACATATTGTTTGCATCATTTAAGCTTAACAGAGATTGACTAACTTCATCCTAAGTTGTTTTGTCGTCTCGATCTTGATATTTAAAGGGAAAGTGATATTATAGCTTATAACGGTTTGTGATACGTGAAAAATGTAAATCTCACAAATAGCCGATCTGTCTGCAGGTATAATACGCTCTTGCAATGATTCCAGTAAAAACATTTTTACGTTACATCAAACAAAATAGTCCGCTCAAAATAAGCATCTCGGAAATGTGTACTTGAATGGAGTGTATCTCACGGATGAACGATAAATACCCACCCACATGAAATGTAAATATCCACAGACATCCACTCCTACATCAGATTGTACCGGTTCATGTAAATATTCTAAGCTATCAGTAAAGCTTTAACCCTTTCTGAGTATTTGACTTTGTTGAAATTTACTCGATGTAGAAAGGGTTAAAATCCACAAACTTAGAATATCCTAGGATTTTAACTTTTTAAACTTGATAGGGTTTATTTTTATATGGTTTAGCTAACTCACAACCCATTCTGTGAGAAAATTATATCAATTCAAAACTGCTTATAATATTTAGTTGAATATAAATTGGACTACGCTATGCAAATAATATATCACAATATTATATTGTTCAGAAAATAATATAAGATTGTCAAAACATCATATTTAAGTAACTTATTGAACAGCAGTGTAAGTATTGTTAAATTTACTGGAAAAACGTGAAAACACATCTAATAACACTTAAAAACATATGTTTACACTTATAATGTTGACTCACAAGGCGGTAAATGTATAACAAATTTAAGTGGTGATCGATTTTGATTGGCCACTCTTTAATTTATTTACCATCATTCACCTATCAGGTCTAATGATTAATGGAGTGTCCAATCAAAATCGATCACCATTTACGATGTTTAGGGTATGTGATACAACAGTATGAGTGTAAACATATGTTTCAAGTGTTAGACGTACATTGTTATGTACTTTCAGTTACATCATAATTGTGTACGTAACCTGCATATTAGATCAATATTTAATTGTTTAAAATAATATATATATAAAATATATATATATATATATAAAATATATATATATATAAAATATATATATATAATAATAGTTTTGGGAGGTTTATACTCCACTAATGGGCAAAGAAAGCTCAACAAAGCTGGCAATGTTGTGATTTAAGCTGTATAAGCTTTTCTTTCTAAGCCCTACATTTGTGCAACAAGCCAACGAAAACTGCGTTCATTTCAGTGTTTACTTTGTTCATTTTGTCACTTTTAACAATGGACTCAATGTATAAATATCATTCAGATGACATTCATAGGATTTAAAAAAGTGTTATAAGATTAAAATTTATATACTATTTTCCGGGTGATAACATTTAATTAGGTTTATGTTTAGTGATTTTCTCTCAACAGGTTTATATTTTACGTTTTAGTAAGGGGTTTCTTAATCATTTTATCATAGCGATTAATTATTTTGTCATTCGATTCCTTTAAAAAAAGTGCGATTGGACTTTTCAGCGTATTTTGCAATATTTTTAAATTGCTTTTAGTACCTAACCCAATAAAAAATGAAGTTAGTTTGGTAACAAAATTAAGTAACTCAAAGTCACGGTGGAATTAAATTAAACTTAAGTAATAGATTCGAGAAAGTTTATTATTTTAACAAGTATAAAAAATTTTATTTCTCAACATATTTTGCTCCTTTTTTATAAAGGACTAAATAGAAATGTCAATGACCTAGGTTGTATCTAGATCAACTTTTTTGTTATTAAGTTGATTAATGTCAAGTTGAACCCCAAACTAACGCATAGAAACGTGTTCATTATTTTTTAAACCTACTGTTGAATTTAAGTGCAAAAATTAAAAAGATAAAAGATCTGTTGTCTTGTTAATGTGATAATAGATAGTCTACAGAGTCCAACCGAATACGGTTACAAAACGAGGGCAAGTCAGTAAGACCAAAAACTCCAAGAGGCTTACAACTGTTATCCCTCTAATCCAGCTTAAGGGACGCCTCTGAAACTCATGAGGTTTTAAGTTCAAGTAAAATGTACCAATGTCAACCTGTAATCTGTAACAATCAGTGCAAAACAGTATAAAATGTTCAAAAAGTAAATATAAACATTATTAGTTGTCAACTTAAACTCCTAATTACAATCACTATTATGTAAATATTTTAACACTCAAAATTGAATGTTTTCTTATATAGTCTAGTAATAAAAAATAAGGTGTATAACAGGATGATAGGATATTTCAACTGTATAATGGAAAGTCAAAATATATTTATAACATAAAATAAATAAATCATCTAAAAAAGTGTAAGGTAGGTATAAATATAAACTATATTTCAAACACTTTTATTAATATATCTATAGAAAAATACTGTCAGGTCTTAGAAAGAAGATAGTTCTCCTCAAGGGGATGAACGAAGATTTTAAGGGTTTCATCAATACTGGGTCTTTCTTTGACGATCTCGATGCTTTTAACCACAAGAGCAGGGAAGTTAAATAAACCCTCCAAGTAGTTTTATATCATTGAAAATTTTAAGTCAAATAAAATTTGGTAAAAAGTTGTTACTCTTATAGTTTTATTATGAGTAAGCAACGTGAATTCAAAGTCGTTTAGAATAACGACTTTAATATATAATGTTGAATATTTAATATACATTTGTATTGGTTAAAAATACAAGTTTAAAAAATATATTAAAATTCGTCAAAATATCGCTCTTTACCTTAAACAGTTTTATCAGATCAAATAATTAATCAACACGATCAACAAAAGATTTGGTTCTTAATGTAGTAAGGATATATAATACGGAAAGCTTTGTGAGGAATCCTTCATATTATTTTAACCTCAAATTGTTGAATATTATATGTTTAAGTACCTATAATATTATTAAAAAAAAAAATTGTAAATACAGAGTCAATATGAATATAGCTTGATTATTTTTCGGGTATACTTCCATATCTGTTGGCACAAACAACCGAATGAAAATATCGGTCGATATATCGAATGAAACAATCGAATAATCGATATTTTATTCGGTTGTTTGTGCCAACAGATACGGAAGTCTACCATATTTTTCTATAGTTTACTAAAAAAAACGCAACATGGTACTGTATTTAAATAATTATTAAAGGGATTTAAAAATTAAATACTCACATCCGAGTCGGGTCCTTTGTCCGCACCCGGACATGTGAAGGAAACGAACTCATGGCAGCGCTTGTGGACCACGAAACTGCAAACTGGAACAAATACATAAGTTACTTAAAGTGTAGTAAATACAAATAAAACATCTACATAGGTCTCAACTTTTTTAATTGTTCAATAACATTTTTATATAGTTTTGTATGTGACTATTTTAATTCAGAGTTCACCTCGTCTGAGAGACGTATATTTTCTCATTGATAAGTGTATTACCTTTTTTTACTAGGCTGTAGGTTGAATCATTATGACGTGGATCAAATTGGTGATTAACGGTATTTGAACCAGAGACCTCGGGCACCAAAGTCCCACGCTCTATAACTAGATCAAACCGCTCCTTTGATAAGTGAACCTACAGTAGTTTAAACTTGAATGACAATAAAGTATCGCGTAAAAACCACATAGATTGACAGATCTGAACCTGGGCATAGAAAATGGAATTCCCGCGTTCTATCCATAAGAGCGTGTAAACATCTTCTGTCACTGTAAACTTACAAATCCAAGGTTAAAAACTTAAGTGTTAAAACACATAAATTTATCTTGTAGATGGTATTTTTTATGCAGTGGTAAGCCCGCCGCATGTCACATTTTTTTCAACATACGAAGAATTATATTAAATAAACGAGTTCTTTCAGATACGGGTTTAAATACAATTATAGATGAATCACAAAGATGAAAATCGATATGAGCAGTATTTTTCATAACGTTTCGTGAAACGGGTACATGTTTTTTTTCTGGGAAACCTTGACAAATTTACCTAACTATTACTGTTTACAAAATTTACAAATTTACTATGTGTGTTCGTAGGAAGTTTATTTTTTACATCAGAGTAGGATCTGACTAATATATGAGTCTATTGTTATGATTATTTTACATTTATAATTGGATTGACTTTTGAAGCTTTGCAAACAATATTACTAATATCTTTAGTGACAGTCTTCCTACGAACACACATCTTTTGCTTACACCTTACACCTTATACACGCAGTTCTCTAAAACATATGTTTAATTTCAAACACAAATATAAAGCAATACTTTTAAGATTCATAGATTTGTCTATTCACATACAAAAACGATTTGTATGGTAGCACAACAACTTGTCCACTCAATTGTCTAGAACATTGGTTTAATTTGAACACAAACAACAACACAAGACTCATAGTCTCCAAAGAGTGTAGGTAGACGTGTTATTTGGTTTGGAACATACTGAAGTGCTTGAAGCTGTTTATACGTGTACGCAGCCATCGAATATCAATATTGCTGGTTAAACAAAAGCAGCTTGATGTGGGAGTTTCATCACTGCACCAAAACGTTCAGTAAAACCTGCCACTTCTCCTACCATTTACAATTTATCGTCAAATATTGAAACTGTTAGAACCATTTTGTTTTTGATTATTGCTGGTTTTATTCTTACCTTTTTTGTTGAATTAAAAGTCATAGGCTTCAAAGAATTTTGGCTACCTAAGGGAATTTATAAATATGAACACAATCAATTGATTAAACAAAGACATGCTTTGTGATTATAGTAAATAATTTGACCTTTCTATAAGCTATCAGCTGTTTTACAGCGAAGCATAACGGAGAACTTCGGAAAACCAAAGACGTGAAGTCTTGATGCCAGATTTTTTAAAAGGGTTTTATTTAACAATTTGTTGTTGACAGTGCTTAACAGCTATTTTTAATGCTCAAAAGTTAATTTGTTGTATTGCATAGCATTTACTTATTGTTCAACATATTATAGAACAGATTGTAAAGTAAAGAAATAAAAAAATAAAAAAATAATTTGTTTGGTGATGTTTCTATTAAGAGCAGGAAAAGCATTTAAAGGAATACTTTTCATTAGTTATGATTAATTGTTAATAACTTACACCTCATAAAAAATATGAAAATAATTACATAAAATATTTTAGTAGAAAACTTATACAGATTCTATTTAAATGTTGACACATTATTTTTCAGGAAAAAAATAAAATTCCAATAAATTCAAGGAATTTATTGAATATTCAAAGGTGTCATAATAGGGTGTTTGTCTAAAAACGTTGTTGTTAATCATTATTGTATTTGATGGACAGAAACACTAAACAAATAATTAAATTAATTGGGTTGGCAAAATTATATTTATATAAAGGACATGTAATTTCATGATACTAATGTTAAAGTAAAATATCATTATGAAATTTTTCATGTTCAGTTTTAATGTGCTTACTCAAGCATTACACTTAGGCTGTATAATTTTAACTAAGGTTCTTTAAACAAATTTCCCCCAATGAATTCTGGAAATTCTAAAACCTGGACTAAATTGTTTTAACAAAATTTTAAAATTAGTAATTGAACACCAAAAACATTCGTTCATCCGTCTTATATCAGCAAAGAGCCCCATTTTTAATACTTGTATCTACAGTATTCTAGTTACAAGTAAGTTTTACATGAGGTACAACGCTTGTCTGTGGTTATGTTATGTAAGGTAGGTCAAGTAGCGCCTTAAGTATCACCCCTACAGTAACTACCCTGTTACCATTAAACTGGTGAACCATAAATGTACTGCTGATGATAAATGTCCTGGTAAATTTTATTCATAAAACCTCAAGGGCAATAAGTTTAACGGAAAGTAAATAAGAGAAACGTCTTATAACACTTAAAAGATATATTTACGCTTATACTGTTACTCTCAAGACGGTAAATATACAAAAAAAGATGGTAAGTGGTGATCGATTTCGATTGGACACTCCAATCATCATCAGACCCAATAGGCGAATGACAAGAATCTTGAATGGCGTCCCTAAGTTAAGTTAATAAGTTTAAATAGACTTTTTAAAATTCGTATTCGGTTTCATAAGAATGGTAAGTCTTTCCTGAATAAGTGCAGTAAAAAGAATAATTAAATTCACCAAAAACCTCTAGCGATTCATTGTTCGTGTTTGAAGCTGAACATTTGTAAGTAGTGGTATGCGAAAATAACTGTCTCAATTTCCCTTAAAAAAAACTTAATATTTGGAAGTGCTTTTTACGGTTATTGATCACGAAAAAAATCTAAATTAAAAATACCCATATTATTGTTATTAAAAATAAGTAAATTGTTGCAGTTTGCTTGTTTATAGATATGTTTTGATCTATATGGCATTTTTATTTTATACTATGCTATTAAGATTTTACTAAAAATACAAATTATTTACCCTCCCTGTAGCAGCAAACCTAATTACTTGTTAAACCTAATGTTTTTAAACAGGTAATAAATCTGAGATGTATAAGGGAATATTTAAGTGGAAATCAAATGGGCAAATGGAAATTTTCTTCAGTGCAGGTTTGCTGCGGCAGAGGGTATTGTTATTTGAGGTCTACTCTCTATAATCATCGTTGAAGCTCCTCTAGGCTCTTTAGTTATTGACATATGACAGGTATCACGATTACTAATACAGTTTAATATAATGTATTATATATATTTAGGTCTACCTAATTGGTAACAGAACACCACATAATGACGTCACAACACCCATATGTAATGTGAGGCTACGTTCACTCGCCGGTAACGTATCACGGCTTCAGCACCAATACATATGTACCAAATCAATCACAAGTTCAATATACGTCGCCTACTCCGGTTACAGATTCCCAATCACACACATGATACGTTACACCAATCATCCATTCTACACAGATCATCCGACCATATCCGAACCAAATGGAAAGATTTTCTTGCACCGCTATGAATAAATACCCCCGCCGCAGCAAACCTGCAGACTAAGCCAATTTATATTTGCCTAATTTGACTCTCACTAAAATCTATTTTATTAGCATTTGGTTTGGACCTCGTACATAGGTTAGCTGCTACAGAGGGGGGGGGGGTTAATAAAGTGTGTATAAATAAAGTAAAATAAATCAAATTAAGAAATACAGTAATGTTCTCTTTTATTTTTGTCTTAGTTTATATTATGTAATTGATCATGTATTTAAGAGTATTTGTTTTGCTCGTGCTGCATATTATATGGGGAATAAACATCATTTAGCATAATTCATTGATTTCCAATCATTTTCAATATAATAAGTATTTTATCATTTATAAAATGTTACCGGCAAATTATACCATGCAGGCACTCTATAGAATAGTTAGACATGAAATACATTATGGCCCTCTAAATTATGAAATGTAGTATTCGAGATTGGATTTTGTCTAGACGTACCATCTATATGGTTCAGATGTAGTCAATTATTTGTTAAAAAAGAACGTAGTTGTGTGAGCCAGCCATAGAAATGCGCTAGTGACTAAAATTATATTTTCTTATAGTTAATTATTGTTGGTGGCTAAGTTAATAGGTCTTAATAGTTGCTATAGCTCACAATAAGTCATTCCATTAGTTTTAATTGGTAAAAAATATTGTTAATTCGACAGAAATCAGTAATTTAGATCAGCAAAATCTGTCGGTGGCTCACATCAACTACGACGATTTTGGTTAAAACAACTGGCTACAAATTTAACATGAGGATGGAATGTCTCGTTGTATTAAAAGTCAAAGATTTTATTCACTTTGACCTAGCAATAGAATGCCTTCAGGTGTAGGCTAACAGACAAAGTATAAAATAATGATAGTTGTAAAACAAAACAATTTTCTTTATAATATTAAATTATTTTGTGTAAGGTTTAGGTTAGGTTAGGGTAGTTAGGATTAGTTCAGATTAAATTGAAGAAAAAAATCAAACGTTTTAAAAAGTCCTTTATGAGATATGTAGCCATCATTTGATATATAATGCAACCTATGTACTATAAAATCAAATTAATACTATTTAATTTACACATTTATTCAGCGGTTTATCATAAAACAGGATATTTTGTTAAACGAAATAATTAAACGTAACAACACACTAATGAAACTATTACCTTACAGTAACGTAAAAAGTCTAACATCTTCTGTTATCAATTAACAATTATTGAAATGTAGACGTCGTCACCCAGATGAGCATTGTAGCCCAAATATGATTGAAGGATGAGTGTAGAATGGTGTGAGATGATTGGTAGCTTTGTTACTAACTAAGATCAGCTGTTTCATCAACCAGGATTATTTATTTAAAGCCCATTGATCAGGAACGGCTGGGCCCAGTTTCGAACAACCAAAAAGCTACTGACATTTCTCAGGATCGAACCGTCGACCTTTTGATTGTTAAGTGATTACTAAAACCACCCAGCTACCCAGCCAGCCCTAGATGTAATTTTCTATATGTATAATTTTTTTATGGTTCTACTCCATCACGAAGCACGAGTTACAAAATCAACCCTTTTTAACGAGCTGAACAGAAAATCAATTAATTAAAGCTTATATCTGCACAGCGAAAGAATATTCAATACTGATGGCCACTAAAGCTGCTTTTGATGTGGGAGTGCAAACAATATGTCAATGTTTTGAACCCTCTCTCGACATATTTGACAATCTCTGAATATTCTGCTCCAATAATGCTTCATCTTTATGAATTTAGTGTACAAAACTAATATATTAAAACTATTTTTGAGATGATTTATTTAGAGTTAGGATCATATTTGACTTTTTAAACAATATCCTATATATTTTATACCTAATTGAGATTTCAGGTTTAAACTTGTTGTAATCCTAAAGGTTACGGAGGTAATTAAAAAAAACCTTTATATTTAAAATACCCATGTTATTCCTATGGGGAATTAATAAACGGTTGTAGTTTGCTTGTTTATGGACATATTTGAATTAAATTTGGCAATTTTGTTTATTTTATAGTAAGCTTTCAATATTTCAGTCAAAAACACACCTCAATACCTTCCTTCTAGCAAAAAACCTAGGTACTCATTAAAATTAATGTTATTTAAATAGAAAATAAATATGACAATTTTCAAGAAATATTTTTTTTTAGAAATCCAGTCAGGTAAATGGGAATTTGCTTAGTCTGCAGGTTTCCTGCGGCGGGGATATTTTCATTGATTTGTCTTTGTTTAAGTATTTAACAAGGTTATAAGGTCAATCAAATTTTATAATGCACTCTAAGTCAATTATGCACTTAAAATATGTTCATTTTGAATCCTGGCTTAGACAAACACTGGCTAAAGCTGATCTTCATACTCGTAGATGAGAAATTGTCCTTTATTTTAATAGTAAATTTTTATAATCTATAAAAATAAATAAATAAATTTTAGATAATTTTAGATTATAAATTTTTATAATCTATAATCTATTGTAATATAAGTTTTGAAATATTGCCTATGAGTTGAATTAGCTATAATATTATACACCAGTCATCATGGGAAAGATCAGAATCCCACACTACTATATTTTTCTGTGGTTCTAAAAAACAGTCTCAATAAAAAATGGAAAAGATCATCTCAATAGATATAAAACAATTGATGATATATGAAATTAAAGCTTTATATAAGGCGTTCCATTTGTAGAAAGCACGAAGAGGTCATTATTCTTAACTAATGTAGGTCAGGTTGCAGCGATGGAGTTAAACGACTCAAAGGTCATTTGCAGGTTTTATTTAACCTAACTTTAAACTCTGAAATGACATAGGTTATATAACAATATTACCTATGTGGTATAAGAAAGTTATCCTTCCGTTGCCTTTTGGAGGTGGGCATAAAACCATAAGCAAGAGTTTAACCCGGTACATGGGTCAGAAGTATTGCGCTCAAACATTCTCTTTTAATTAACTCTTGATTCAAAATAATAAAATCCCATTAGTAGATTACTGGAGAGTAAGATTTAATTATGTGAAGATGTTTATCCAGGCCTACTGTTATCTAAACATGCATACTTTAAGTACAGTAGTATTATAACTATTGTTCTCCACTAGTTATTTAATTTGACAATTATATGCATTAACTGTATATCATGGTTTGTATTTGAATTAATTCTTATTTTGTGTTAAATTATACACAAATATAATACACCTTATAAGCTTACCTTGACACTGAAATCCCTGCTTGCCGAATCCCCTGAAACAAGACAAATATTGCGTTAGGAGAATTATACATCGATGGAGAATACAGTAGACTTACATAAATCTTATACTATTATAAAATTGAGGTGGGGTCTGTTTGTCTGTGCGGCTGTCACGTCTAAAATACTAAACCGATACAGCCAAAATTAAACACATCGATAGTCCACATATCTAGGAATGTCAGACCTATTCTCTTCTCTGAGTTCCTCTCGGGCTTGGATGTTTAAAATTTTTGAGGAGATGTTTTCAAAAGTAAAATTAATTGGTCTCCATGGAAGCATGAGAAAATTCACAACCTTTGTTTACCTTTGTGTTGACATTTCAATGCACACAATCAGAACTGTTGAGTGCTTATTTGAAAATTTCATACAGCTGATTCAAACAAATAAAATAATATTTTACACACATATTTTTAAAACTATTTATTTATTACAAACGGCGATACACCAATAATCACATATATAATGTATAATATACATATTCTATTTTGATATATATATATATATATATATCAACTATGTTATTTATTATGAACTTGAAGAACGATTCTATAACCGTAAATTATGGCAATTATGTTATTGATACATTTTAATGTTAAGAGCAAGCCAGTTCAATGTAGGTCATACTTTTTTGTATAAATTTGGTGGCTTTTTGTTTATAAATTCGAACTACTTAACAAGTGTAATTTTGGCGGATTAGGCGGGATAGTGCATCTTCCCATTGCGAAACACGGGTACAGAAGCTAGTCTGGATATAGAATCCAGTATTTTATGCATTTAGAGTTTTATACAGGAATGCCTATTGAGTATAAAACATCCATGCAATATAATGCTGGCTAATAATTGCACTTTTCATTTTCGAATGATTTCACAATATTGCACAAAAGACATGTCTATTGTACGCCATTCTGAATAACTTGAATAATTTCGATTGCAAATATCGCATCGGATTCTGTCAGAATATTACATAGAAACAAAGCTCAAAGCGCTCCCTGGTGACAATATTTGTACAGCTGATGAATCCTTTTGATCCTCTAATCTGATTAGTTCCTCCAGTCCTCACAATCACGTGACAGCGCTGCTGTCGCTTTTTTGTAAAACACGATTAGTCTCCTTTGTAAAACCTACTACTGACATGATTAGACCAAACTAGTTTCTTTGTTACAAACAGCTGATGTGTGATTTAAATGTGTAAGCCATTTCAGTTTAAAATGTTAATTTTTCAGTAGGATAAAACCATAGACAAAAATAATCAAATATAGACTGTCATCCGTTCTGCGGTTACCATGGTTGCCATAGGTTCTGGCGCACACCGCTGGGAGCGCCGTGTAATTATGTAGCGCGTACGCCAAGTACATGGCGCTCCCAGCGGTGTGGACCAGAAACTATGATGACCGCAGCACAGCTGACTATATTTAGTTCTTTTTCTCTATAATAAAACTAAACAAAAAATGCAATGTTTAAAATGGTTCTGGGCTCTAAATACAATGTAAATAAAACCAGGAACACACACTTACTATGCAAATTATACGGATATATGTCAATCTAACTTAATGAACATCTTTTATGTATTTGTCTTAAACTGTATGATGGAATCAAAACTAATGACTGTCGTAATGTAAATATTTACGATGCAAATCAAAAGATTAACACCGGGAAAAAGATAACAAAACTATAAATAAAAACAAATTTTACAGCTTAACCATCTTCAATATTTAAAATGTGATTAAATAGACTACAGCCCTTTAGTTGAGGTTTTTTTATTCACACGGTAAACACCATTTTCACAATGAATACAGTGGCAAGTTACATGATGCATATTTGAATATTAAGATGAACAAACAGACAAACCCATTTTTCTGCTATTAGAGTACCAACATAACTTAGATTCATCTTGTTTGACAATAAAAATGATTGCTACACGAAAAAGTTACATCAACAGGAATTAACAAAAAATTCATTACCAAATATTTGATCAGACGTAACCAAGTAGATAACATGCTTAAAAATGTGACAGAAAAATTTGGACGATTACCTTACTAGATATTATTGACAAATATTAACAATTAATTTAATACGTCCGTGCTCTTAGGAGACGGTTGATCCAACAACTGATATTTACGGAAAGTTTCACATCAACACCTTTCATTTAAGTATGCGGTTGATAAGTGTGTGGCTTACGGGTTGCTCAAAAGTTTGTGATCCTTTAGCGTTGTAAATGTAATAAAGTATTTTAGAACGAAAAATAATCTAAAACTCGTCTACTCCAAGTGTCCATAGTTTAGGCCTTAATGTCCACCTATTTTTGGCGCATTTGCAAGGTTTTATTAAAACGGATCTGAGAAGCTTAAAACAATGTTAATTCTAATGTTCTCCATTTTGTTTGGAAAATCATGGGCTTCAATATTATATATAAAACATAAGGAACATTTTTCAAAAAAAAAAATTTTTAGGTAAAAAAAATATAATTTCGAAAATTTTCAAAAAAAAAAGTTCGCGCTTAATGAAATTGTATAAATTATAGGCCTATAAATATTTGAAAATAGCCACTTTGTTCTAAATTTTATGAGGATTACAAATATATAATAATATAAGGAAGTAGATTTGCAAATAAATAAGTTATGGGCAAAAAACAGATTTCAGTACATAGCGTTTAGCTAAGAATGCATAGCCTAACCATAGCTAGGAATCTGGCTGATAATTTACATCAATATCACTACCTACCTACTTCTTCAGGATCATCAACCAGCCCTTCAAAATCACTTAAATCTTCTTATAATGCACCACGTATATCACTACTTTGGATTTTTAACACTAAAACAATGATAAACGTAATAAAACACATCAGTCATCGGTCCGAGGTTAACTAACCTGTTTACAATTAGGCACGTCAGCTGTCTGCTACAATTACGATCGGCTCAGAGAACGTACAGCGCTGAGACAGACCTCTGGAGAAAGCTTAGAATATTACGGAAAGAACGATACCTAACTCGATCCAGTTCAATCCGATTCAGTCAGTCATAGAGCCTTCGCCGTAAACGATGTCTGCGTGTCGAAAAATCGACAAGTAACACTACACAAAGTGTGCTGCTTGTCGAATTTTCGTCAAGTAACACTGGGAGGGTTTTGGTATATTTTGTACCTAAGGCCGAGAATGGGGAACAGTAAAACGGGACTAATTGAATCACTTTCTCTTGTAATAAGAATATAATATGAAAAGACAAATAGTATAGTTCGTCCCCAAATGACGATGCCAGCTGGCATGGACAGCAATACGTAGCTTTCGGCCTCCAATAATCGTTTGTAAAACGGAAAAAACATCGTAGTGTGGTAAAAAAGTATAAAAAGCTACTTATTGACATATTAAACAACAGCAATAGATTTGTACAATTTAAACATTTCATACATTTTTAAAGTAAACTTAAAGCTGGAAAAAGTCAAGGTAAGAGCTTTATAAAAAGGAATAAGCAAATATAAATACTCTCGTCCACGGTTTGGAGAGCGCAGTTCTTTTCTTTTCAGCCGAATGTCTTTTCTGAGATTTCTATCACAACACGGCTTTGGGTTTTTATCTTATTCATCTTAAAAACGTAGTATTTTCTGCAACCTCGTTTTACTTTTCTTTCATTTTTGACGTTCTGGAAATTTTTGAAAACCTTTAGTGTGCATTTTTTATTATATTATTGTTGCAAAAGATAATATAATAAACTACCATATTTTAGGGCATTGTTCCTGAATAAGAAACATATCTAAATATCATATTTTAATTGTCTAGAAGACCTTAGTTACTCATACAGCCGCTTTTTTTCCTCATAATTTTTTTTTTAAGTGGTTAAAATTACGAAATTGAAACTTTGCACAAACATTTATGACAACTATACAAAGCTACAAAAACATTATGAAAATGTTAAAAATTCATAAACAAATTGCGGCTAGGCCTATTTAAAATTTTATTTCTTTAATAACTCAAAACCGTTGAAAATTTTAAATGGCCACCATTTTGTATAATCAATTTCAAAATTTGTCATAATTTTTTATAGCTTTGTCTAGTTGCATAAATGTTTGTGCAAAGTTTCAATTTTGTATCTTTAACAGCTAGGCCTATTTACAAATAAATTATAAGTGAAAAAATAGCGGCTGTGTGAGTGACTAAGGACTTCCGGACAATTTCAATATGATATTTAGATATATTTCTTACTCAGGAACACCTACAATATTGGTAGAGAGTTCCAGGACACCCTGTATATTTTTATTTTAAAGTTAAAAACCATTGCCTTCCATATTCATTCAACTTAATGCGTTTTCCTTGGTTTTAATTCGGAGAAAGAAAACAACTCTAAGGTTTTATTCCCTTGTAGTTAATTTGTTTTCCTTCTTCTAAATTAGTTTCCCATTTGACCACAAGAGTTTTATTTCAATGTATTTCCAGCAGTCTAGTTTTCTCATAACTAAGTATTTTTGTAATTTTAATTGTATTCATTTTTGTAAACAATTTAAATATAAACAGAAATAGACATTATCTAGTTAGATACGAGAATAGTTCATAGCTTGTTTCAAATTTGTTTTACCAGCCATTGCTTCAATCCTTGTGTTTTTTAAATCAGTTTTAAGAAATTCAAATTTGATGTTCGTGTGCACTTAAACGTCGACTGCACCTAACAAATGCCAATGTTTGTTCAATAATGACATTCAATTCTATTGTCTGTACAAGATGAAGTTAATTATGTTTCAAACGATGGAAAAAGAATGAAATAAAAAAATACAGTGATCTAGTTTTAGGACAAAGTATATTTATAAAACTCGTCTAAGAGGTCTTGTCTAAATTTAGTTGAATCCTATTCTGCTTCTAAAAATTACTTTAAAACATGTTATATTGTCTCATAAAAATTCCAACCTGACAGAAAATAAGCCAGAATACGAAACGAGAATTAATTGTTAGTAACATCTTGATATGTGTCACTCTTTTGAAACGCTTTAAAATTAAAGCTTCTGCTCG